CGCAAAGGTTCGGTGGGCCGAGACTCGGGTGGCGACCAATGGCGAGCCGCGCGGGAGATCGGACCAGGAACCCGCTGCTTGTATTGGCGGAGGGAGTCAGGCCGCTCCACCCTCTTTGCGCCGACGCGCGGGGAGGGGTTGGCGGGGGACCCAGACGCTGGAGGGTCCAGTGTGCTCTGCGTGGCGGTGTCGCGGGGGCACGGGCGGCGGGATTGGGGCTTCTTAGCCGCAGGGCGCGGCTGCTTCCTTCCCCATCTCCTTAGGTGGCGCCTTCGCGAGAGGCGGGCGAAGCGGTCACGCGTTGGGTTACCTTCCGAGGGAAGGGGAAGGGGAGGGCTGGGGTGGGTGGGGCGCCCCATGGCCCTGGCTAAATCGCCCTGCAGCCGGGGATTACGGGCCTGGCTAGCGATCTCCCCGCCTTCCCAATCTGCGGAGGGCGGTGGGGAGGGCTGAAGGGGGAAGAATGATGGAGGAAATAGATATTGTAAAGCCTCTAGCGCCCACTCTGTGCCGGGCTGTGTTGCAGGCCCTGGGGTAGGGTGGTGAGCAAAGCAGATGGCCCTGCCCTCATGGAGCAGCCAGTGCTGAGGAGCTGCGACTGTTCCCGGCAAAAGCCTAAATATGGTGCCATTTACACCTCGTCTCTTCTGAAATTGTAAGAAGTGTCAGAGGTTTTTATTTTAGAAGCCAGACAGTTTACCAGGTGTGGCAACTGGCGCCACGCAGCTATCCACTTCCTTCTTTTACCTTTGCTGTAACATGCACTCCTAGGAGGTTCCCTGGGCCCACTCTCCCTTCGTTCAGTGCCTTTGCTCAAGCTGGCACCTCTGGAATGCCCGTTCCCACCCCCTTCACAGAGCTAACGGCTCACATCCCCAAGGCAGCTCAGGGCCAGTTTTAACATTACACTTTTCGTCACTTCCTTCCCCACTAAGGTGCTGCTAAAATAGTGCATCTGTGTCATGCATGATTCACAATTTTTTGGTCTCTACCTGTTTCTCACCTTCACAAACTGAGCTTTAGAACAATCAATGTCTGATTCACTTTTATATTTCCAGCATAATGCTTGGTGCATAATAGACACCCCAGTGTTTGTTGACCAAAGAATGAATGAAGAATGTAGGCAGAGGCTCACATACTCAGTAATGATCAAAGTCCAAATTGTGAGAGGCTGTTTGCATTGGGCTTGGCATGTGACTAAACTATGATGTACTTTTTTTAAAAATTGATTTTAGAGAGACACAGAAATATTGATTTGTTCCACTTTTTTATGCATTCATTGGTTGATTCTTCTATATGCTCTGACGAGGGATCAAACCCACAACCTTGGCACATTGGGATGATGCTCTAACCAACTGAACTACTGGGCCAGGGTCAAATTTTGATGTATTTTAAGTGTGAAACACAGTGGATTTCAAAGACTTAGTACAAAAAAGAGAATGCAAAATATCTCAATAATTATTATTTGGATTGCGTGTGAAGTGATAACATTTTGATATATTAGGTTAAGGAAAATATAGTATTAAAACTGATTTCACTTGCTTTATTTACCTTTTTATACTTTTTTTAATCCTCACCCAAGGATATTTTTCCATTAATTTTTAGAGAAAGTGGAAGAGAAAGGGAAAGACAGAGAGAAACATCGATGTGAGAGAAACACATCGATTGGTTGCCTCCTGCATGCGTCCTGACCAGAGCCCTGGGCCAAGGAGGAGCCTGCAACCGAGGTACATGCCCTTGACTGGAATCGAACCCGTGACCCTTCAGTTTGCAAGCCAACACTCTATCCTCTGAGCCAAACCAGATGGGGCTATTTACTTTTTAAATGTGGCTACTAAAAAAAATTAAAAATTTCAGATTTGTTTGCATCATTTCTCTAGCAGCTCCAATCAAGAGGGCGTACGTGATTGGAGTAAGAGGTGAGGCACTGTGAAATGCCTTTCCTCTGGTTCTGTCAGAATTCAAATGTTGGAACTGTTAGAGAGGGCTTTGCTTTGCAAGCTCAGCCATCCTGACTATTGTTGGGGAATGAGGTAACCTGGAGAGTAAAGTTCAACCTAAAAATTAACATTGGACCAAAGTGTCCAGTGTCTTGTAGGAGAAACAAGAGGAATGACTGGTAATCAGAAGAGCTTCACACTTGGAAAGAGAAAGAGGAAGCCCTAGGAAGAACACAAGACTGATCTTTAGGGGACAACTCGCCAAAAGAAAAGGAATAAAAAAATACTCAGAACAATTGTTTATGCAGCATGCATGTTCTTATTCTCCCTTCCTGCCTACTCTAGTCTTCTCTCGCCACAAACTCCAACCATTGGGGTGGCTATTATCTGGGCAAGACAAACAGTTACCATGAGTTGGGCCAGTTAATTCCTTTTATTTTTAACATATAGTAAAGTTGTTTATCTTCGTGTACAGTGTATGAATGTTAGCACATGTAAGGGTTCTTTTAACCACTAACACAATGAGGATACAGAATAGTCCCATCCCCCAAAAAACTCCCTCCGGAACCCCTTTGTAGTCATACCCTTCCCCCTCCCCTAGCCCCTGGCAACCACTGCTCTGTTCTTAGTACTATGATTTTGTCTTTTCAGAAGGTCCTATGAATGGAATCATGCAATATGTAATCTCGGCCTCATTAATTGTTTTTAAATATTTTTTTTATTGTGATAAAATACACCTAACATAACAATTACCATCTTAACTATTTTTTTAAAAAAAATCCTCACCCGAGGATATTTTTTCCATTGATTTTTTTTTTTTTTTGACAGAGTGGAAGGGAGGGAGGAGGGGAAGAGAAAGAGAAAAACATCTAAGTGAGAGAGACACATCTATCGGTTGCCTCCTCCTCTTGCCCAGACCAGAGTAGGGGATCAAACCTGCAACTGAGGTACATGCCCTTGAACAGGAATCCAACAACCCTCAACCCTTTTGTCTGCAGGCCGATGCTCTAAACACTGAACAACCAGCCAGGGATGAACTATTTTGTTAAAAATATGTTTTTATTGATTTTTAGAGAGAGGAAGGGAGAGGGATAGAGAGATAGAAACATTGCTGAGAGAGAAACATCAATGATCACTGCCTCCTGCGTGCCTCCTACTATGGATCCAGCAGTCCCGGGCCTGTTTCCTGATGGGGAATGAACTGTGTGACCTCTTGGTTCCTAGGTCGACACTCAACCACTGAGCCACACTGGCTGGGCCCATCTTAACTATTTTTAAATGTACAACTCAGTGGTATTAAATAATTCACATTATTGTGCAGCCATCACAACCCTCCATTCCCATAACTCTTTTCATCTTGTGAACTGAAACTCATTAAACAATAACTGCCCAGCTCTTTCCAACCGGCGCCGAGCCAGGGGTATCTCTCGGGACAACTGGCACAAGCGCCGCAAGACCGGGGGCAAGAAGCAGAAATATGAGCTGGGACGCCCTGCTGCCAACACTAAGATTGGACCCCGTCGCATACACACAGTCCGCGTGCGCGGCGGCAACAAGAAGTACCGGGCCTTGAGGCTGGACGTGGGCAACTTCTCCTGGGGCTCAGAGTGCTGTACACGCAAAACGAGGATTATTGATGTTGTCTACAACGCATCCAACAACGAGCTGGTCCGCACCAAGACCCTAGTGAAGAACTGCATCGTGCTGGTTGACAGCACACCGTGCGGACAGTGGTACGAGTCCCACTACGCACTGCCCCTGGGCCGCAAGAAGGGGGCCAAGCTGGTGCGTGTTTGGGGAGCCAACCTCCCTGTAGGGTGGGGGGAGGCCAGCCTGATTGATTCCAGCCTTCTTGTGATGAAATTCTGTCCAGTTCTGCTACTGAATGGAAAGAGAAGAAAGCCTTTAGTGCTGAGGAAGGCAGAAGTTGGGATGTGCGGGGTTCGAGGGTACCGTGACAATCCTTCCTCGTGTTAGAATTTGGGGACCCCCAGCTAACCCATCTTTGTCTCCTTTACTCAGACTCCTGAAGAGGAAGAGATTTTGAACAAAAAACGATCAAAGAAAATTCAGAAGAAATACGATGAGAGGAAAAAGAATGCCAAAATCAGCAGTCTTCTCGAGGAGCAGTCCTCCCTCCAGTGCCTGGCAACCACTATTCTACTTAATGTCTCTGATTTTGACCACTCTGAGTAGCTCATAAAAGTGGAATCACTCTGATACTGCTCCTAGGGCAATGGAAACTAAAGAGAAAATAAACAAATGGGACTACATCAAAATAAAAAGCTTTTGCACAGCAAAGGAAACCATCAACAAAACAACAAGAAATCCCACTATATGGGA